AGATAGACTATTCAAGGACCTCCACATAATTATTATTTTCGCTACGGCTAGGATTGGACCCCTTCGTCATGACAAATTTTTGGCTCTTGCAAATAAATAAATATATGTTTGGTTCATAGATCTACAGATCATTTCAGGTACGCTCAAAAGTCATTTGATTCAATCCCTAATTTAAATTTCATCTCTTGCTATTAATTTTAATTTAACTAAAATATATATTAATAATTTTATTTTAACTGAAACCCTAAATACCAAATATTATTTCATTTTGGTTGAGATAAAATGATAACGAGAGATGCCTACACCTGCATCACTATATCCTTGATTTTGTACAAGGGGTCTTCTTGTGCTAATTAGATTGATCTGTTTTTGCATTTTTCCATGCTAGAATATATATATATATATATATATATATATATATTAATTGTTTTTTTAATTTAATTTATATAATAAGATTCAAATCTCACAATTGTTCTGTATGTTTGAATGAGTATAATATAAATTTAATAATTTTAATACTTATTTTGATTAATTTTTATCAGAATATTCTCATAAAAGAATTTTTTTATGAGAAATTTAGGTCAATTAATTAAGTCAAATTCATACATATATAATATGAGTAAAATTTAAATTTAAGATCTCTTAGTTGATAGGCAAAACTCCCAACCAACATATCGAAGAGAGTTGTCTAAGAAAATTTCTTTGAATGCTCTTGCTTTTAATAATATATTCTAATCAAAATTAAGAATATATTTAGTAAATTCCTTCAGTTACAATAATTAATTATTCGAACAAAGATATTGACAACATATTTTTCTTTCTTTATTTTCAGAATTTAATAATACTAATTAGATCTGCAAATCTAACCTTTACAAGATGAACAGAATTAAAATTTATTTAAATTGTTATAGTAGTCCCCTATATTTGATGAAAAAAAAAGGACAACGTACTGATGTCAGCAACAGTTATTGATGGAGCTCTAAAATTAATATGGGTTCGCTAATGACTTTGGACCACCTGATTAATCATGATGCGTGGGAATTTTGATTTTCTTAAGACCAGCACATGCATGTTGATTTAAATCTAAGCAATATTAAACTCAGCTCACCTTGGCTTATTGGTTGAGAGCTTATGCTTCCAACTAAGAGATTTTGGGTTCGAGTCTGTGTATGCGTTGTGTGTGTGAGTTTGCCTTAAATGGCATAAATGTCCCAAAAAAAAAAAGCAATATTAAGGCAATTTAATTACGATTTACGGTAAGATTCGTGCAGGCATGCATCATGTTCGTTCTTAATTTCTCATAGATTGATTGGCATTATATATGTCGATCTCAAAAGTACATGTCGAAGGATAATTACATTCATTATTGGCATTATATACTATACACAATCTTAATAATTTTGACATAATGTTTTTAGGAATTATTATATTATTTGTTTTGCATAACATAATTTGAATAAATAAAAAATATTTTTATGAAATTATTTTTTGTGGCCCTGCAGCCATGCATGTGACAGCGATATTCTTTTTTTTTTTTTTCGCATAAAAAAATTTGTTTTTCTGTTCGTTCAAAAGGGTGATGAAAAATAAATAAAGAGAGGGCGCCCATACGCCAACTGGCGATGGAAACGAACGGACGAGAAATTGCCGCCGTATGTAGCCTACAATTAATTAGATTTATCTCTTCTTCTTCTTTGTTCTTATATTACTTTCTCTGACCCTTTTATCTCTTTCACATGCATCAACCGCAGATTTGTGTGTATAAAACCCCGTATATCGAATATATATATATATATATATATATATATAATTGTGATGAGTTTCTTCTTTTAATAAATTCTTCAGTATTTTAATAAAAAATTAAAAATAAATGTGATCGTACAAGAGCTAGCCAGCACTCCTTACCATGATTGTGTTTCTTGAAAAAATACGTCAAAAGACAAAAACTATTAAGCTTATTATAAAAGTCAAAACTTTAGTTATTATGCCAATTTAAATAAGAATATGAGTTGTCACAAATATATACCACACTTATATTCTTATATTATATTATGAAAGAGAGAGAGAATAGATTATAAAGAGTGTTGAAGCTTAAACGCGAAGTAGTTGATTTGTCAATTTTATATAAAAAATCTTTCAAGGAATTAGTGAGACAAAATTTTCATTAAACAAAGATATAATCCCACAAGTAGAATAAGAGTGCGCGCTCCAGATAATGCAAAATAACTACGTTACGCTAACATTATTATGAAATTTTAACTAACAATTAATTAGATCAGAGGGCTTCATATATATATTCTACTCTTCTGCTTCTGCTTCTGCTAATTAATATATATAGGAAGGCTTTAATATATAGAAATCATTCATAAAAATAAGAACATAAATAAATTTCAAATTGTACGTATTAAGTTTTATAAAGTTTCTAATTTCGGTAATCATTATTTGACATTAACATAAAATGGTTGCGTGCTACATTATTAATCTCCAACGAGCATTCATGATTTGATGATTGCATTGCATATTAGACTCGACAGCTAAACCGAAGGACTTAATCCTGCCATCAAATTCCATACGAACATTATTATTATATAGGCAATGTGTAATTAATTAATAAATTTTAATGCAGCCTGAATTAATATTTATTTAATTATTACTCTGTTGCATTCATTTTTCTTTAGGGTTATCTTCTCTTTTTTGTTGTCAATGATCAGTTGATTAATATTTCTTATTTTGTACGTTTTTTTTTTTTTCTTTTTCTTTCAACTGATAGAGATGTGATGATGCGAGGTTAAGTAAATTAATGAGTGTGATCAGACAACAAATTGAAATTACTAGGTTTAGGCATATATAGTCACCAAATTCTTTTTTTCTGCCAATCATATATATATAAAAGTAAGTTCAGCAGTACTCTACCTTTTATTTTATTTTTAATTAATACTCCATCTAGTGCAAGTATAACTTTTTCTGTCTTGTTCGTTGAGAAAGGTGCTGTGGTCATCATCGAAATAACTCTTTATTTATCAGATTTTTTTGCAATCTTTCTATTGAGGCAAATACTTGCCATCTACCTAGCTTGCTAGCGACATTAACTTTTTCTTAAGAAATTAATCCTCTAGCTAGTCTATCTAAATTTAAAACACTAACAAGGAATAAATTAAAAAAAAATCAAATTAATTAGTGCCGTCAATAACTTTAATAATAACAATAAAAAAATCAGCAAGTTGAATATGCTTATTTATAATATCAAAAGAAGCAGAACCGACGTAAATTCTACAGCAAGTAAGCTCTGAATAAATTGATGAATTCTTTTTTTTATTATTAATATTAAATTTTATCTTAAATATTTTTATTAATGATAAGATAGACAGATTTATCTCCTTTTTTTTTATGTCCTATTCCCTAGAAATTATATATTTATATAGCTCTCTTTGCTACATTGCAGCATGTTTGTATCAGTGCGTTCAAACGGTTACTTGGGCTTCTGCATACAGTTCTCCACTCTCAGCCATCCGATCCAATCCCGATGATCAGGATTTTATCGAGGAAAAATCAAACTTGATTAAATCCCAACCGTTCAGATTCAATCAGAAGGCTGGCCGGAGACGACCATTGTAGTTGCCATCAAAGCCGTCCTAAGTCGCATGCCTAGCTAATCAATGATTTTTTGAGAGAACTGTATTCTACAATCACAATAATTAAATAGCATATAATTCACATTATCGCCAAATAAAAGCATAAGATGTCGAGCTACGTACTTTATATGTACATATATACATTAATTGCACTTTTTTTTTCTTTTTTTTTTAATATAATATGTTAAGTACGTATATGTTAAATATTTGGTTTTTTTTTTTATTAATGTGAAACTGTTCTCATACATATATATATTCTAATGTATGAGCTGTGCACTACCGCAAGCTAGCTAATTGCTGCGTCGCCTTCATAACAATATTCAAGTGGTGTTACAAAAACTATTTTTTATAAATCTATTTAATTTTTCCTCTCTATTTATACATTTTATATATAATACAAAATTTCACGTATAAACTGATGGAAGGAATCAAGAACAGGTTAGTGGCGGTTCTCTCACACCCAGCTTCTATCAAAAATAAAAAACTATCAAATTTTATATTATTACAGCAAATGGTAACTTTGATCCTTATTAATTAAGTAGTATAAAAATAGACCTTAACACTTTTTATATATGGAGCTTACAGTACTTGTATTTATATATTTTGTTTCCAGTAAAATTATTATTGTACTTGTAATGAGTACCATTTGCTACATTTTTCTTCTCACCATAATTTACGTTGCGAAAAGAAGATCAAATGCTCTTCATTTATTTATTTTTACGTTATCTTAGAATTTAGTTCATATCGTTCATATCTTAATTTATATCATGCGTCAATTTTTGGAAAATATCTTTGCCAATTAATTTTTAAAATAGAAAAAAATTAAAAAAGAAAAAAAGGAGGGAGGGAAAGCAAAGAGCTGATGGCAACGCGGAAAGTGTAAAAAGTAGAGACGGCAAAGCAAACGCCGCCCTCGTTCACCTTGGAAATTTAATTAAGTAGTATAAAAATAGACCTTACACTTTTTATATATGGAGCTTACAGTACTTCTAATGAATTTTTGCATGAGCACCATTTGCTACATTTTTCTCCTCACCATAATTTACGTTGCCAAAAGAAGATCAAATGCTCCTCATTTATTTATTTTTACGTTATCTTAGAATTTAGTTCATATCGTTCATATCTTAATTTATATCATGCGTCAATTTTTGGAAAATATCTTTGCCAATTAATTTTTAAAATAGAAAAAAATTAAAAAAGAAAAAAAGGAGGGAGGGAAAGCAAAGAGCTGATGGCAACGCGGAAAGTGTAAAAAGTAGAGACGGCAAAGCAAACGCCGCCCTTGTTCGCCTTGGAAATCTAACACTTACTATTCACTTGCTAGTAAGCAGTAATAACTATGCAAAAGCATTCCTCTTCTTCCCTCTTCCCGTTCAGAGCTATAGCCATGGTTTTTCACTTTTCCCTGTGTCTGCATTATTGAATGCACGCGTCTTCTTTTTTTTCTAGATAACTGGAGAGAGAAACTTGATAAGACACAGAGAAATAACCTTTGTAAGAGATAGATAGAGAGAGAGAGAGGTAGCTGACTTTTGAGTGCCCCAGGAGTAAATGCGCCCGCTGTCTTCTTTGACTCCTTTCTCTCTTTCTCTGTGCTTGCGAGAAACAAGAGCAATGATTCCTGCGCCTCTCTCTCTCTCTCTTCAATCTTAACTCCCTGACTCGTTCTCTTACCTTCAGGTCAGCAAGTCTCCTTATGTATATATACATATCTATATAAATATATATATGAGGATAAACCAAAGCTTGGCGTCCTAATTCCTTTGCTTTTTTTTTTTTTTTTTTTTTTTTCATCTCTTGCTCTGTTCAGTTTTGCTTACCGAAAGAGCCAAAGGAGATTCTGATTGAGGAATTGAACAGAAATGGGGAGACCACCATGCTGTGACAAAATAGGAGTGAAGAAAGGGCCATGGACTCCTGAAGAAGACATAATCCTGGTCTCCTATGTCCAAGAACATGGCCCTGGCAACTGGAGATCTGTTCCCACTAACACAGGTTCTTTGCTTAATTCTTCTTTTTTGGATTCATATGATAAACATATCCGAGATTATTCCATCATTTTCACTCTTTCTGAGTTTTTTGTGGTTTCGTCATTTCTTCTCTCTCTCTCCCTCTTTTTTTTTAACAATAAATTAAAAATTAATTTCACCGCTTCGATTTTCTTATAAAATTCTTGAAAAATAATCCATTCAGGACTGTCAAGATGCAGCAAGAGCTGCAGGCTCAGATGGACTAATTACCTAAGGCCAGGAATCAAGCGTGGCAGTTTCACTGACCAGGAGGAGAA